GCTGGCAAAGGTCAAGGACTTTTTCAACGAGATAGCGTTAAGGTAAGTCTAGCCGACACTAGCCGACCTTAACAGACCAGACAAACGTATGCCTAATTTACTCGATTGCTCTGCACGACTTCCATGATTAGGCCAAGGCTGCTGCTGAAGAAGGTCTTGCTGTGAACGAGCAGATCCAAAGGCGCCCAAACCCTAAAAATGCAGCTCTAACAACGATTTAAAAATCAATCAAATCAAAGGTTTAACTACAATTAAAGGTTTAGCGTCAGCTCAATAATGCAAAAACATCACAAACGGAGCTGGATCCGGGTCATGGCAAATAGCCGGTACAGGGCCTGAGGTCCCGCCAAGGGAAGCTCCTGGCGGTTTGCGCACTTGCCGGTTGAATCGAAAATATGGCGGTAGATACGCGGCGTATGTCGTGCAGCTGCTGGCGCTGCAGACACTCTGCGGCATCTGGATCAAATGGTCGACCATAAGGGACACTCGTGGGGTAGTCGAAAGCAATAGCTGCCGCTGACGGTGATTTTTTCCCCAGCTCTTTTCAGACGTAGACGCAGCACCAATCCTCCTCAAAGGCACGAATCGTCTGTGGGGATTCGGGATAAGCGATCATCAGAGGTATGCTGCAGACGAGTTCTGGTTCTCCAAAACCTTACCTCAGACTCGAGGGGTCCGTGGGTGTACACCCTCTGAGCGTGTATCCACTTCATTCTCAAGGTGAAAAATTCCACCCGGCTAGCACTCAGCACCCGATGGAGCTGCAACACGGGCTTTGGGCCTCAAGCTCCCTGTCCTCGACATGCAGCAGAATATCTAGGATCTCCTTTCCCTGCTTCTGGGGAAACCCACAGTCGGAATCATGTGAGACGCTGTCCTTGTAGGGGCCCTTCCAAGAACAGCCCAGGCAGTGGTACTTGCAGCAAACCACACGCCCCTCACAAACGAACTCCAAGTGTCTGGAGAGATCTTTCCTGTCTGAGAACTGGTCATTGCAGCTGGGGCAGCTGATGGGTAGCTCCCAGAGGGTCTGGCGCACCACTAGATTCTGCTCCTGATCGTAGTTTCTAATGAGCGATCGACAACTGGGGCAGCAGGCACTCGTTTTATTGAAGATGGCAAAAGCCAGAACGGCGGTCTTGCAGTCCTCACACATGATATGCCCATGGCTGCACTGAAAGAAGTCGTGTGGTTGTGGAACCTCGCGGCAAACAACGCACACCAGTATGTTATGCAGTAGCTCACAAAGATCGGAGACGCCACCACCCGAGGACCCGCCGACCTCACCCTCACTGCTGTCCATAGTAGTCGAAATCTCATTCGAAAGTACTTTCATCTTTACTTGCAACATCTGACAATCGCTGCCTCTTGGCGGCTGGGGGCTGCTCGTTGTTGTTGTCATTGGGGTTGGCCTTCGACATTCTGAAGGGTATGTCGGCCAGCAGCCGCGGCCTGGCTTTACAGTATGTGTGCGTGCTTTATTCAACAATTCTGATTGCCTGTTGTTGCAGAGTAAACTGATAGTCTGGTGTAAAGTACGAGCACAAGGTTACGAGTTTTCCAAGGCCAAGCTGGTTCCCTGAAAATTACAAATTTAAAAACAGAGGATACACACAGAGAAAAACGGCATAGTAGGCACCCATGAATAGTTTAATTTAATAGAATGCACTTTGATCTACACATAAATGTACTCAAAAATATTTGTAATGCGGCCCAAGGCGTTCAATGGGTCTGGTGGGGTGGTGTCTCGGTGGACTGGTGGGGTGAAAAGTAACCTCTTTGACCGCCAAAGTGCTCTGCTATCGCAAACAAGATTACGGTGCCTATTAGTCCATGTTTCATGTAGAACATGTCAAATTAGATACATATGTTGCTGACATGTTTTTTTTTTATTTATTTTTTTTTTTTGTTTTGGTATTTGATTGCTGCTGAATGGAATTTTTTTTGAGTGGCAAAACAGGAAGGAAATTGACGAAAAGTTGGATGAAAAGAATGGGGCTAATGCTCCTTCGATACACACCGACTCATCAAAACAAAAATCAGCCCGCGTGAGGAGATCATCGACGGCGCGGGGGAGACCTTTCGGAAATTATTTTTCGGACGGGATCAAATAGTTGGATAATCACTGCAACGACTGTCTATGAATGAGTGACCTAAAATAGCCTTATTGAATAAAATAAAAAATAAAATTGTATGGTGGGCTGGGGTGAAACCTAGTAGTAGTACTTTTTGGCATCGTCTGTCACTTTATCTGCGAGTCCCAATAGATTTTTAAAATAGTTTAAAGCATACTTGATAATGTATAAATTTTGTATGCGATATTTTGTGTAAATTATTCATACAAAAGAAACTCGGAGCAAATCTATGGGTATATATTTGGTAATCTACGTGTAAAGATTAAAATTTCAGAGCTGTTTTATAGAGCTCACTCGACACTTTGAACCGTTTGTAAAATCATAATTATTTGACAGTTTTGTGCGTGTCTTTGCTTCTGCTTTGTTTGTTGTTCGGTGATCTGGTAACCTCCTCCTTAAAACAAAACGACATCCAAATCGAATGGTTCCCCTGACACTAATCTAGTGTGGCTGCCGATACGGATACAAATTCCGAACAGGAAATACTATTGTTAAGACCTTAAAAGAAAAGTCTAGACATTTGCGAGTTGAGTTGTAAATTCAAACTAAATTTTATTCTTAAAATCAGAGCCTTATATGTGATTTGACAATGAGGTAGGAGGTACAATTTGGTAGTCTATAATTATCGTTAGACCTACGCAGAGGATTCACTTTACTGAGGGTGTCTATTTGAGTACATGCTTACATTAGTTTTATTTTAGGACCGCATTTGTTAAGTGTTTTCTCCACTTGTGTTTTGTTGTCGTATTAATGGGTTTTATTTCGTTTCTTAACTTATCCATTTCTTCTGTATGGTTAATTAATGGTACTGTTAATGGATTCCAAACAATTTTTGGTATTTTGCTTATATTACTTATATAAAAGGATGAAATTGGCTCGTAGCTTTCTGTTTGAATACTGTGATGAGGTACTAGTATTTTATCATGCGGAAGATCAATTAGTTCTTGATTTGAGTTACTACATTGAATTCTAGCATTAGTGTTTACTGGAACTTTGAAGAGTCAACTACCCTGCATTTCTAATTCGACCCAAAATGATCATGTCTCTGCTATCTTCCTATACACGCAATTTGAATTACCTTTTACTACTACGAGTACTTCTGGTCTCTTTTGGAGTCATTCCTGAGTCTTGCTCTTCTGACTCAATTCCAGCTAATGGACAAATTTTAGTTATACGTCGTTTTATCAACCCGTCTTGATGTTTTATAGTTACTACTCTGACTCTAACGTCCCTACCTTTATGTATTTCTTCTATTTTTCGCAAGGGCCATCTAGCTGGGTGACAGGTTTCATCTTTTATTAATACAATCTGTCCTGTTTTAATATTCTGCATTCCTATTTTCCATTTATTTCTTTCCATTTAATCCAAAATTCTCTTTTCATTTTCTGAATTAATCTCCATCTATCCAGATTCCCGATTTTTATACCCGATACTCAAAATGAGTATTGGGGTATATTAGATTTGTGGTAGAAGTGGATGTGTGTAACGTCCAGAAGGAATCGTTTCCGACCCTATAAAGTATATATATTCTTGATCAGCATCAATAGCCGAGTCGATTGAGCCCTGTCTGTCTGTCCGTCCGTCCGTCTGTCCGTCTGTCCGTCCCCTTCAGCGCCTAATGCTCAAAGACTATAAGAGCTAGAGCAACGATGTTTTGGATCCAGACTTCTGTGATATGTCACTGCTCCAAAAATATTTCAAAACTTTGCCCCGCCCACATCCGCCCCCACAAAGGGCGAAAATCTGTGGCATCCACAATTTCGACGATACGAGAAAACTAAAAACGCAGAATCGTAGAAGATGACTATATCTTCTAGAGTGCAAAATCTGAACCAGATCGTATAATTATTACAGCCAGAATCACGAAAACAATTTCACTCTTTCTCGCTCTGTCTCACTCTAACACACAGGTTTCATGGTCGGTTTTGCCAATTGCAAAATATGAGTTCAAGGATCTCAGAACCTATAAAAGCCAGAGCAACCCAATTTGGTATCCACACTCCTGTGATATCGGACCTTGACCGTTTCCTGTCCAAATTTCGCCACACCCCCTTCCGCCCCCGCAAAGGACGAAAATCTGAGGCAACCACAAATCTCAGAGACTATTAAGGCTAGAGTAACCAAATTTGGTACACACACTCCTTTAAGATGTCACTATAAAACGTATATCTCAGAATTTCGCCCCACCCCCATCCGCCCCCACAAAGGACGAAAATCTGTTGCATCCACAATATTGCAGATTTGAGAAAACTAAAAACGCAGAATCATAGATAATGACCATATCTATTAGATTGCTGAATCTGGATCAGATCAGATCATTTTTATAGCCAAAAGGAACAAATCAATTTGCAGTGGCTACGCAGCGCCCGACGTCACGCTCAGACTGATTTTCTGTCTCTCTCGCACGCACTCTTTGTCGTGTCGTTAAATATTAGCGGCGTCTGCCGGAGGAGAGCCATACTGACTTAGTATCGGGTATAACCTTAGAGTTGCGGTGTCCGCAGCAACTCACAACGTTCCCCCTCGTTTCCTCTGAAATTGTCTCAATCGGGCCAAATATTGGCCTTCCAATTGTAAAATGACCTGGTGTTAATACATCCAGATCGTCAATATCATTTGTAGCTGTATACAAAGGGCGTGAATTTAGGTCCGCTTCAATTTGACATAATAGAGTTGACATTTCCTCATAGGTTAAATTATTGTCCCCAATTACCCTTTTTAAGTGATATTTCACTGATTTTACCCCAGCTTCCCAAATACCTCCGAAGTGAGGTCCTGCCGGGGGAATAAAATGCCACTAGATCTGTTCTCTTTCTAATATTGGAACCACTTTTATGTTGTCTTTGAGGGCTTTTCGGTATTCCTCGTCTAATTTGCGCGAAGCTCCCACAAAGTTGGTTCCATTATCGGAAAAAATTGTTGCACATTTTCCTCTTCTTGAAAAAAACCTTCTAAGTGCAGCTAGAAATGCATCTGAAGTAAGAACGCTGACTACTTCCAAATGAATAGCTTTTGTCGCCATGCATACGAATACGGCAATATATCCCTTATAGGATTTCTGCCCCCGGTTTTTAGAGCATCGAATATGGTAAGGCCCGGCGGCACCTGTATTTGTAAACGGGTGCGACATTGTAGCTCTGTGTTTCGGCAGATTTCCCATAATTTGTTCTGCAGTATTCTGTCGATACCTAGCACAGGTGACACACTCTTTAAGTTTTTTCTTTAAGCAATTTCTTAGCCCAAATATCCAAAACTTTTGCTGGATATAGTTTCGCATCAGATTAATTCCACCGTGCAATGTTTCTTTATGTGCATTCTTGATAATTAAAGACGTCAAGTGACACTTATCTAAAATCAAGGGATGTTTAACCTCAAATTCCGCGTTGGAGTTTTGCAATCTACCTCCAATAGTTTATTTTTTGTTTCTATTTCCTTTTTATTAATTAGGCTAGCTATTTCGGAACCGAAATGGATAGCTTGTAGTTGTTTTACTATTAATACTTTGGCACTCTTAATCTCCTTCACTGTCAAAAATTAAGGAAATTCTTTCTTTTTGGTTTTGATTTGAATAAACCCTAATACATATGCTGTGGAGATAATGATTTTTATCCCCAATCGGCCGACTAATTATTCCAATTAAATAAAACTCGGCGCAGAAATAAAATTGCGATATGTTCTTTAATGCGTGACATCCAAATTGCAAGAGAGGCTTGCCTGCCCTTTACATTGCCGCTCAGATCGCTAAGCGCAGCTTCGCTCAGCCGACGTCGGTAGGCAGACGCAAAGCGGAGATAGCGAAGAGCGAGCTGGCAGAGAGCGCTTAGCAGGGCAAGCACGTGCAAAGCTTTAACAAACAAATGAGTGACATAGACATAAGTAACAAACAAAATAAGCGGCTGAGGGCCAAGAATTAGGTGCTATTTGGTAAGCAGCTAATCGGCTGGGTTCTGCTCCGAACATATGCAATGACTCTTTCTAGTTTATGCACACACGAATATTTTTGTAATAATTCACAAAAAATGTTATTTTTTGCTATTACCATTGTTGTGCTCACAACTAATTTTTCTTAAATTTCCTCTTTTGGCCAATGTTCCTTAGATTTCGCCAACCATTGAGGCCCTTTCCACCAAATCTTAAAATCTTTTAGCTTATCTGCACTAATGCCCCTTGATGCTACATCTGTTGGATTGTCTTCAGTTCTAACGTGTCCCCATTTAATTTCCTTAATCTTTCTTACTTCGTCAGTTCGATGCCTGATAAACTTGTC